TACTTGACTTGTTTAACAGCCTTATGTTTATGATTACAATAATACTACCAGTATTTTCAATTAACATTGGATGATACTCCATCACTAGTTAGACCAAAGCAAAATGTAGCTTTTTACCAAAGTCCCACAATCGTTACCTTTTATCAATGAATTAACTAATTACATTTGTTGCTTTTATCAAAGTACTTTAAACAAAAAAAAACAAAGACAATGTTCTTATTTTTATTTTTAAAAGTTGATTAAAATAATGATTCTATCACAGAGTTTTATTTTATTAAAATGTTAAATATCTGTCGTTTCCCTCTGCTTTTTCGAACAAAGACCAGAAGTTATTCACTATTGTTATTCAAGTATAAATACAAAGATGATGATGATGATGATGATAGAAATTAAATGTTTATTATTATTGTAAAGTAACTTAATCAATCAATATTGATATTATAAAAACTTCCATAAATTCACACAGTAATTTGATAATTATAAAAGCTTTTGCGTAAAATTTTCATTTGACAATAATTTTGGCTCTGGAACATGAAATACACAATTATCTGAATCCCTTATCTACCCGACCATGTATTAATTGTGTATGATGAAACTTTTGACTTTAGTAATTGACATAACTAAAATATTGACTAAAGGTAGTTACTCCCCAGGGCCATTTTGACGATTTGGTCAAAGTAAAAGTCCTTGACGTAAGTAAAAACTCTTGATGTAATTAAAAGCACTTGACGTAAGTAAAAACACTTGATACAAGCAGCAGCAATGATACGATAATCATGGGAGAAATTTTACTTAATTAAACTACTTTTTTCCCCGTATATTTTCTTCTCTTTTACAAATTAAAACTATTAATTTCATAAAGTCAAATTGTATTTATATACATATACGAGTTGTGTTGAATTGATGTTTTTTCGAATTTTTGATTTTGACGTCTTTAGTATCTAGTTTGAAGCAACACAAGTTGATCAATATTGGTACTTTTACGTAGCAGGCTTTGTAAGTTTTAATTTTGTTTTCCACTTTTATGACTTTTAAATATTCAATGATGAAATTCTTTTATTGTTGAACCACTATAAATCGATCACTAGAGTTTGATGGTGAAGAAGTTGTTCTTTAAGTAATGCAATTTTCAATTTACACCCTCTATCAATTAATCCTGTTAGAGAAAACTTAAAGGCAACTATAAAAGATGTTGTACGAAAAAAATTGTTTGTTACACGTTATTAAGTTTTCTGCAAAGAAAAACATGATTTTAAACGAAAATGCAACAGAAAGTCTAGATTACCATTATGACGCGATGATGTTCTGGCGTCATAGCATTATAAAATCATACGACTCAATCACACACATATATATTCGTTCGGAGCATAAAATTAGCACTAGATAGGACATCCTATCGTGTATTCATGATCAATGATGCATTCTTTAATAAAGATAGACTATATCACGGCCAGGTGGTGCATTGATAGAGTGTAGTCTAATAAGTTATAACAAAAACACATAAATAGACCCGCTACCCCCACTCGTGGATCAAAATCGATGCATTAAATTTTCTTTTTACGTCGGATTTGGAATTCGAGGGTCGAAGCACGTCGTTACATTCAAATGCGAGGTATCTATATATTCATTTGGAGCATCAACATAAGCCGGTCATATTATTATTATATTCGTTGCGTTGAGCAAAGAATTTATTTATTTAAAAAAAAATTACACATATAAAGGGAAATTATCCACGAATTTAATAAATTTAATAAAAGATCCTTTGGAAAGAAGAATCCTCACGTGAATCAAAAGTTATTTACAAATTTCGATTGTTGAAAAAATCAAATAAGCTTTTTTCCCCAATTAAAAAAAAAAGATCTTTTTGTCCTGATCTTTCCTCGTATTTATTTATTTATCACAGATTAAAGGTCAATCGGATCGATTAGATTTATCTCTATGGAAGAATAAACTTCATGCAAACATCACAAATTTCGATTGTTAAAAAAAAAATCAACTATATTTTTTTTTTTTAATTTTAAAAAAAAAAATCCTTTACAAAAATTAATCAATGAATTTTATTTGTTTTCTACAAAGGGAATTAAAAATAAAAATTTCCTACCCAGATCATCTACTATCTCTCAAATGATAGATAACGAACAATAGACAGCAAAAAAATCTAAAGCGAAACATGATTTTCTTTCGGTCAAAGTATCTGCTTCGCTCAACCCTGATTTTTTGAACAAAATAGATAAATTTTTTGGTTGCCAATAGATAGAAATGGGAATTCGCATGATAATTTATCACTTTTGGAAAACGAAAATATGTGCAGCAAAAAAAAAGAAAAAACAACTTGTTACAAAGTTTTACACCTTGATTTTGATCTCACCCTTCCCCAACAATTCAGTTGAGCAACAAAATCTTTAGGAGATTCGTGATTCGTCACCGTAACTGCACTGAATTTACCGTTTTGAGTCTTAACCAAACATTTCAAATTTGGTGAAATTAAAATCTACATTTCAGAAATAATAATAGTAACACGAGAACCTTTCTTTTATATATTAAAATTTAATATGTTAAAAAGGAAATAATGTGACTGTTATTCTCAAAAAAAACCCCCTTACTCTTATTCATTAAAACATCAAGTCAAATTTTATATTTTATATTTTTATATAATGTCAGATGCTAAATTATTATCATCGTTATCACCAGAAAGAGAGGGATTTTTAGATAAAATTTATAACGAAATATATCATAACGCAGCAGTTAATTCTGATATTGAAAGTAGAAAAAATTATTTTTTTTCATTAGTCAAGAAAAACAAGGAGCTTTCTGAAAATGAAATAGAATATTGTAAAGAACAGTTTATTTATGAGTTTGAATTAAACAATGCAATGTACAAGTTGGGCAAACCAAAAGAATGTAACAAGTGTAGATTGACAAGATACTCTGTTAGGTTCTGTGAAGGTTGCATTAGTTTACATTTACAGAGTACCACTTTGACATCTGGAAATAACATAATTGATGATTTCATTCGACAATGTCAAATGAAATCATCCCTTCCAGGATTTATTTTAGAATGGATACCTTTTGAACAATTTGAAAAAGTAACAAAGTTGACAAAAGGTGGATTTAGCTCAATTTATACTGCAAAATGGACAAGAGGAGAAATAAATGATTATGATGAAAATAAAAAGGAATTTAGTTATTTTGGAGGGCAGAGAGTAGTATTAAAAAGTTTAAACAATTCAATTAATCCAGGAAAAGCCTTTTTTGATGAGGTTGGTAGTTGTCATTTAAAACAATACTGTATTATTATTATATAATACTAATTGATTTTATATTCAATAGGCAATAAATTATAGTAAAATTAAATCGGTGTTGATTGTTCCTTGCTTTGGTATAACTAAATTTCCAGATAATGGAAATTATGCAATTGTTTTAAATTATGCACCAGAAGGAAATGTAAGGAATTATTTGCAAAAAAATCATTCAAATTTAGCATTAAAAGACAGAATCGCAATCTTTGAATATTTATGCGGTGCATTACATCAAATACACAAAAAAGATTTAATCCATTGTGATTTACATAGTGGCAATATACTTATGTCAGGAAGTGGTTGTTATATTACAGATTTGGGGTTATGTGGACCAGTTGATGAAAAGTCATCAAATAAAGTTTATGGAATTGTATCATATATTGCACCCGAATTACTTAGAGGCAATAACACAAAGAATACAAAAGAAACCGATATGTATAGTGTTGGGATGTTAATGTGGGAAATATTTGCGGGTCATCCACCATTTGATGATAGAGGTCATGATCATCGTTTGATTTTTGATATATGTGAAGAAGGTTTACGACCACCAATATTACCTGAAATGCCTGAAGATTATGTGCAAATGATGCAGAGGTGTTGGGATGTGGATCCATCAAAAAGACCAACTGCTAGTGAGCTTTATTATTTTGCTATAGATAAACGTAATGAAATTATTAATGATAATAATAATACTACTATTACTACTACTAGTAGTGCTTTGCAACAAGCATACGAATCACATCCAGATGCATATCATACAAGTAGAATATTAGGTGATGAGATTGCTAAATCTAAAAACTTTAAAAGTTATACAAGTAATCATAGTTCATTAAATATTCTTGATTTTAACAAAGGTGAATAAAAATTTCATTATTAATCAATTGGAAATTACTATCCATTAAACAATATTAATTAATTAATAAACATTAAATTCTAGTTGCAATAGTAAAAGAAAGAATTGATGAATGACTAATTTAATCTCCACTATAAATTTATCCATTATAATTATTTTATTTTTTTATTTTATCCTTATTTTGTTTCTTAAATCATAATAATATTTTGAAATAAATAACTTTTTACAATTTTTTGATTCTTTGTTAAATGATGATGTTGCGAGGTATCATTTCGGTTAATTAACAATTATGGCTTAACTTTTGGGCCATTATTGTCAGTTAATTGCAAACAATTCGATGCTTGTCAATTAATTAGTTTACGAATTTACTTTGATTCTCGATTACCACACCTAGACGAACCTGTGTGCACACCTAGTGGTACCGGATAACTGTAAATAAATAAAGATGTCCCCTTTGCAATGCTATAAATATTGATATTATAAAAATTTCCATACTTGCAGTAATTTGATAATAATCTTCAAAGTGTAATAATAATTTTATCTACCCGATCATGTATCACGTTGTTAATATTAATTCAAGAAATGTTCGAGTGTAGTAGTAAATGAGTGTGTGAAAACTGAATTTGTATTCAGTAAAAGAACTCCTTTGGGAACAACAGATGAGAGACACAAGAAAAAATATAAAATAAAAAATAAAAAATTTGAAGACGACCTTTAAATATCTATTTATATGAACTAACCTTTAACTTACGTCAAAGGTTTTTACTTGCGTCATTTGGCAACACATTTTGTCAAACAACATTAGCCTCATCTAGATAAATTATCAATATTGTACATTGGAGCTTACGCTATTCTTTTGTTTGAGTAATATTCATTTGTAATTTTACCTCGAGTTATCGAATTATTGGCTTGCTTTTATTAGCATTTCTCTTCTTTTCACAAACATTGTATAGCAATAATGTCTAGTGGTATTTATGTAAGAGAATTTTTATAAAAATCATTGTCATAATAATCCAAGTTTATTTTTACATTAATATGGTGATTATATGAAAAATTCAATGAAATTAAAAGCTTTAAAAAAAAAAAACTTGCACAAGAAATATTCTAAAATAAATAAATTGTTGTAATATATATTGAGTACTGTAACAATTTCTTTCGTCGTAATAAGAATTGATATTATTTAAAAAGTTTAGATAAAGAATTTTATGAAAAAGATTACATACTACTAAGAAATTAAGAAGCAATTGGATGGGAAGTCCATAAATAGATACCTTTTTCTTTTGGTATTTTGGTAATGAAGGTGGTAATAATTATGCATGTGTAAATAATTTAATATTAAAAATATATATTTATATATATATATTACAGATTTACTTGTGACAATGAACCACCAATTCATGTTTTTGATAAGGAAGAAGAAAATTTGTTGTCTTATTATTAATAATAAATAAGAATTATTTGATCACTCATTTTTTTTTTCACTTCTATCATTGCGTTGCTGTCAATTTTGTCGACGCTTTTGTTTTATCAATATATGAAGATAGCAAACAGTGTTTTATATTTGTCATTTTCGATGAAATAAGTATTAATATCTTCGAGTTACAAAAAGACTTCTGTTAAGTAGAAATACTGAGACAACAAAGTTGTTCGTAATAGTTACAAATAAAAACCAAAAATATAGATGTTCCATATACTGGAGGCTCTTCTTAAGCATTTTCTCCAAGACTATTACAATAAACGAAATAGGTTGTATAAATAGTATGCCTATATGTATCATCTTCATATTCATAGCAAAAATATCGTCCTTTTATGAAATAAGTTGATTGTAAGCACAGCAGATGACGATAAGGATATAATGACCAAATCCTGAGCGCTATTTGTAAGAATCTGGATAATATGTCACAGTCATGTGATAATATTTAAAAGAGGGAGGGAATAACAAAATATTAAAGGGGGAATCAAAATTCCAAAAGCCCAAAAGTTTCAATGGTACAAGTGCGGTCGTTAACTATGGTTTACTGCAAAAACTCCTTGGAAATTGATTTGCTTGAATATTATGTATGTTGCAAATAACAAGAAAAATTTATATAAAAGTTAACTACTTGTGACGTCTCATATTTATAAATATAAATAGTAGTTGGCATTGAATATTCTAATATGTTCATTTATAAAACTTACAATATTATATATAGAGCACGGAAAACCTAATACTGTTTTAATGATTGATCCTTTGACTTTTGCCATTCAAAAATCTGCGATTGCTATAAAGTTAAGTTCAGCTTACCAAAACATAATTATATTTAGAGAAACTTGAATGACACACCATGGCCACACCACGTGATTATGATAATCCAGATCTGGACATAAAGGACCGGATTGTTATCGTTCGTACTTGAAAACGAAGAGTTCGTCACTGGAGATCAGCTTACGCTAAGTGTCTAAAGAAGAGTTTATTGCTGCTGGACTATTCGTTCATTAAGATTTCTATCCTAATAATGAGCATACCTTCTTCCAATTATCAAGAATAACTTTTGCGCATTGCATCAATTCAGAACTGAGTCTTTCACTTTTTGAAGATCCTTTTTTATGTAATCCAGCACTTTATCCTTTCTTTTTGCCCCGATTTTGCACAACAATACTCAACTACATTAATCCAAATTCAATCCGCGATTGTAGTTACGTGGTAGAAAGCCACAAGAACAGGGCGTTGATTCTGTAAACATGTTCATATTTGCAAAGAAAAATATTCCGAAAATGAGTTGAGAAAAGCGAAAAAATATATTTTTCATTGATTACGTATAAATGCATGAATAATGCACCAAGAATTTCATGTATTAATAGTATCGCAACGATCATGTCCAAAATTAATACTATCAATCGTTGTACGATCACTTCATTCCAAGAATGGCATGATTAACATAAAATGTTTGGTCTGCAAAAAAATATATGGAAAAAATGCTCAACTATTTTATACCCGCATCTAAAAGAGATCCTGTAAAATATCGTTATGAGCTTCCCTCTGGATTTTATGGAGAAATTACAATCAAGAAATTCATCGGAGGTAAGTATATGCTTGTATACTTGAAGAAAATTGTAGAATGTCAGGGTTATGGCAAAAATGAGACTCTTATCCCACACATCAAAAATTTTGTTGGTTATAGCGATTGATTATAACCAAAGAGGGCGGGAATGTGGATGGGAATAGTACCAAGGATGTCAGACGTCTTCTCAAAGAGATAGATGTCAATATGGAATTGGGGAATTACTTTTAATTTGGTCAAAAATCAAATAACATAGTGATTTATTTTATTATTTCCTGATGAAAATTTATTAGAAAAACAATGTAATCAATCATAACAACCTTTATTTTTGATTTCTTTTTTACTTCATCACAACATAGACTGGCTAAATCAAATAATGTTAATTTGGATCTAACTGTTTTTGGTCAATGAATAACATACTCATTTTTAAAAAAATCCTTCAAATATTTTATTAGAGTTAACAAAATTGGATAGAAGAAAATTATCTTTTTGATGATAAATCTTTTTCAAATTTCAATGGTGATGTCATCAAATATTGGAAATTTATTAATCAAGAATTATCATCACTGGCATTACATATTTTTGCAACGCTGCATTAATTCTATATACATCAGCAGAAAGATTATTTAGTTCATTGGGCTTCTTTCATAATAAAAGAAAAAATATATTGAATGTAAATTTAAATTTGAATTTTTTATGCTAATATTTTCATTATTACTGTTTATTTACAATAATAAGATTATCAAATTGATTAATATTTTTTTTCAAATCAAAGCTAAATTAATTTGAGCAAAAAATTAAAGAATTGCAAAAATTTTTTGATCATTATCATTTGAAGAAAGTGGAATAACTATGATATTAGATGATTAAAATGATTGATTATGACCTTTAAGATCAACCAATTGGTAGAAATGTTGAAAATGGCGAAGGTTGGAAAAATTTGATATCAAGTTGGATTGAAATGACAGATGAAGGAATTTGATTTTCAAAAAATTTTCCATTAAATGATCCAAATATCTTACAAAAATCACATCCAGCAGATATAGAAATGCTAAATGAAAAATGGAAGATTCGTTTGTAAAAGATTTGGAACCTCCTTTTTACTATGAATTTGTTGTAGGCATATTTTATATATAATAAAATTTGACTATTTTATTTGAATTTTATATCACGTGATATAATTTTATACAAGTTTTTTTTTGATAAATTTTGCCGCCGATCGACATAATGTGTAAAACAAAATAAATACAACTTTCAAAAACAAAATTTTTTGAGCGGATAGCCTAGTTAGTATAATATACTATTAACATAATAACAGCAGATAATAGAAAAATATACATACAATGAAACATTTTCTAGCTACTTACCCATGTTATAAACAACAGCACTAAGAACATCGAGTTTGTAACATTAATCGAGCGTTTGCTTGCATTTTTTTTATTATGAATAGTGGAAAGGTCTATTGGATTTTGATTATATTAGGATATTCAGGAATGCCTAATTTCTCGGCATCAACTGACTCATAGGATGAATAAGCGTATGCAAAGTGTTGTCACTTTTTCAATTTCAGATATACTGAATGACAGAATTTGAGATCAATATTTTCTACAATGAGATGGTTGAGTGATTTGAGTGGGCTCTCTATTGGGGAATTTGATCACTCTTTTTGGCCTTTTAATTTTACAGTGGATTGGGATGGATGCTGTTGCAGAGGAAGGGGACACAGTTTCTATAGCAGATTTGACGATTGGTTTGCTTATTGATTTATTAAAAGATTCTGTGACAGGTTTCCAATCACCAATCATTATTATTAGTATCAAGATAATAAGCAAATTGTAAATGATTAATTTTACCTCATCTTTATTACTAGGTCAGGTTTATCAATAATAGTTTTAACCCCAGGATTTTAGAGAGTTATGTGATGAATATTTCTTCGAAACAGATGCTTCTCACCATTATAAATGATACGATTTGTGAATATAAGCCGCCATTTTCAAAATGTTGACGCATTTGTATTCATAACTGTCAAGTTTTTTTTCAACTGTATTAAAGTCCATCGGTATTTTTACAATACCAAGGTAATCAGAATATTAAACTTGATTGTTCTAGGAGACGAATGACGTTTTATTAAACTAATTGAGCATGAAATATTAAATAAACATTGTGTAATGATTTTTGAATTTAGAATATAATAAATAAAATGATGACGCAGGTAATGTATGCGTGTGATATATGTATATTGAATCATAAATTAATTGATAATTTTAAAAATAACCAATGATGTTTGGTGAATCCATTTCAAATGAATATTATACTTTGCATATTATTATTGGAGATTTTGGCGTTGAAGAGAGAATTATTTACTTGATTAGAAGAATAAATTTGTGTAACTTCTGACGTAATTATTGAAAAACTCCAAAAAAATTTTTTTTTGAATTCCTTCAAAAATATCCACACGGTACAAATATACATATTATACATATATATATATATACAATATTTATTTGATTATTTGGAACTTATAATAGTAATAATAAATATAATAATAATAATGGGTGTTGTGATCTCTCGTTTCACTTCACAAAAGAATGATAATTATGAAAAAATATTATCAGAACTTGATGATAATATTCGTAAAGCAGAAATATGCCTAGGTGAAATAAAAATACGAGAACGTAATGCATTAATAATCTGGATAGTATATTCATTATTAGCATATACCGCATATGTAGTAGGATATTGGTATTTTATCTATATGTCTAACGAGGGAGAAAATTGGGATTTCATGAAGGTGGCGCCTGTTTTAACAGGACCTTTTTTCATAGTAATTGGTTATAGATTCATTGCTTTATGGTATAAAAGAGAAGAAACAAATGAAATATCTCAACTTGAACAACTAAGAGCCAAACAAAGCCTTAAAGTAGAAGAATTAAAAAAGAAAACTGGTTATTATACAACTAAAACTTTGTTGGAAAGATACGATTCAACAACCAAACTTCCAGCAAATCTTCCCGGTCAAAAAAATCCACCAATAACAACAATACCTGGTAATTTAAAACCTGGGCCAAATTCTTTACGTCAACGCTTGCCACCACCAAACAACAACAACAATAGTGGAGTTAATAATAATAATAATGGAAATATTGACCAACAATTATCTAGATCATTATCATCATCGTCAATAAATCAAATTAATAATGTACAAAATCAGCAGCGTCATTGGTATGATAAACTAGTTGATGTAGTTGTTGGTGATGATGAGCAAAAATATGCTTTGATTTGTAAGGATTGCTATACTTGGAATGGTTTGACTTTTGCAGCTGATTATGATGATATTCAATATTATTGTAAAAATTGTAATCATTTCAATCCATCAAAAAGATCTTTAAGAAATAATGCTGTTTCAGCACCAGCATCATTAAATCAGTCACTATCTACAAGCAATACCAGTAATAATAATGATGATGATAATAATAATTTATCGTCACCATCAAATGGTAATCTTGATGCCTCAATTGATTATTTATCACCAAGAAGAGGTCGATCTACAACACCAAAACCAACAAGTAGAGATTCATCATCAGGTCCGGAAAAATCAAAAGAAAAACATGATAATCATGACGACGATGGTGATGTTGCTGTTAATAAAAGATTGTCATCAAGATCTAGAAGTAAAGGTAGTCATCATGGTGATGGTACTGAGGGTGATGACAATAATGAAGATAATGTTAAAGATGAAGTTTGATGATAATAATAATCAAGAAAATTTGCTCAATTTCAAAATCATGTGAAAATTCACATGATGATGACTATATATACTTCCTTTCTATATTTTCTCACCTCAAACAATTTTATTTAAATTTAAATTTATTATTTATTAATGAACAATTTGAATTGAAAAAAAAATTAGCAATATATATATATATATATATATTAGTTGACATTAATAAACAAGTGAATCTGATATTATCTTTTCTCTTGTTAATAATAATTTGTTTAAAGAATCGATTCTTTGATTAATTTCTTTATTCGCTCATTTCTTTTATCGAATTGAAAGGGGGGAGTAACATTTGTATAATTACATTCATTCAATTACTGCTATAAATAAAAATTACCAATTGAGTAATTTAATAATGCAAAACATTCAATTGTACAATTCATTCTTTCTATGCACAATTTTTTAGCATAATAGTAACTATCAGTCTTGTGACATATCATGCAGATCAGGAATGATTTCTGGCTTGAGCAAAAATAGCAAACTTGAAAATTATAACAGAAACGTTATAATTGAACGAGGAAAGAAATGACGTCGTATACAAAAATAGCTGAAAATATTGATGAATTATCAAATAACGAAATTTAGAAGAAAAGCTATCGTTGAATCCTTTTAAGTTAGCCCTGCATATTATCCACGCAAACAGAGATTTAAACGATTTTCTTTTGTTAGGATGATTAAAAAATTGGACAAATGAATGAAATGAAATTATTTTTAGTGATGAATTTTGTTATGCATTCTCATTATTCGAATTATTCGTAATAAACCCAATCTTAATATTAATTCGAGTTATTTTATTTTATTCGAATTATTCGTTTTATTCGAATTATTCGCTTTATTCGTTTTATTCGAATTACTCATTTTATTCGTTTATAAAATACAAAATATTAATTCACAGCTTGATGCAACAAATTCTATATTGTTGTTATTGTTAATGGATTTTAACTAGGTCATATTTCCTTTAACAAAATAATATAAATTACAATAATTATATTTATAATCTATATTACCACTATGATGATTATTAGTACTATGACTAAGAAAAGAAAAGGAAAAAATTGTCAATTACTATTTACGACTACTAAGGAAAAATAGATTGATAAAGAAAAAATATTTTAATTGGATCGGATTAGGTTTATTCCATTCCATTACTGCAAACTCTGCATACCTTTAATGAGTATGTTTTTGGAAAGGATTTTTACACTTTGAGCAAATCTGCAAATATAAAGGCAAGTGAGACATATTGCATTAAAACCAGATATAAGAATTATTTAACATACTTGGCTTGATTTAAATTCATTTACCAATTGAGTGGTACATCTTCTTTTCAACTCTTGGTATAACTGTTTTTTGGTCATGAAGCATAACCTGGAGAAAAAAGAGGAGAATCCACTAGATCTGTAAGTCAAAACTACATCAGAATAATGCCAGTATTGTGGTTTACCAATGATCCATTGACACATTTAGAAAGAGCTTGTTGCTTGCCAGCATAATTATCAAATTTTATTTTGTGAAAGCAAAGTGCACCATAAAAAGATCAGAAGGTATGATGATGCATTAAAATAAATTGAATATGATTTAAGAAGTTGGACTTGGTGGATACATATGATTTAGGTAGAGCATTTTGTAAAATTTTTAATATTTTGATTCCATAATGAATTAATTTGGTCATTAACAAACAAAATCACTAACTTTGATCTAACAAATAGTAAAGATGTTAAAGGCTTACTTGGTTAAAGCCATATCTTTATTTTTTTCCTATTTTGCACAAATCTAGCCATATCTCTGTACTCCTTTGTTCCACAATGAGCAATAAATATATTGATCATAGTAATTACATATTTTAGCAAAATATTTCTCCATAACTTTTTGAATTGCTGGGTGCTGTTGATCTCTTTTTTTTTTGAATCATATTACTCATTATAATACTAATGGAATAATATTTAAAGTTTCATTTGGATAAATATATCCATTTTCCAAGAGTTTTCTAGTAGCAGACTTCCAAACTTCCTATATTTATTCAAATGTTTTAAATCTTTATAAAATCAATACCAATTATGAAAAATATATATATATAAATGAGTTCACCTTATACCAATGATTGTCATTTTCTTTAAGAACTTGTGAGTCTTTTTTTTAATTCCTCTAATTTATTTGATAATTTAGTATAATTTGAATCTAATTTTTTTACAATTTTATTAGTCTCAATCAGTAATTCAGTATTTTTTCTTAAGTAAATCAATATTTTTTATCAATACTGCCTATTAAAAAACCAGTAGGGAGAGATTCAGTATGGTATAACACTTGCAGAATGTATGGTATGGCCCATATTTTTCTGTACCAAGTCACACAAAATTTTATTCTAAATCCTTTTTTGATGGGTGTGAAGGGAAGTATGTTAGATTTAAGCATTGGTATACAACCATTTTATTACACTTATACAATACCATACCATACATTTTGCAAGAGTTATACCATACTTAATGTCCCTATACTCATCATACCATACCATACAATACGATCTGCAAGAGTTATACCATACTGAATCTCTCCCTACCGTCAGAGTTACAAGGTAATGATTCTCAAGATAGACAAGAATTTAAATAGGAAAAATAGTAAGTAAAAGTTACACATTAACTTTTTGTTT